GGGGCGTTCCAGAAACGGCGTCGCCTGCCCGGACATGATCGCGTCGTTAAACAACAAAAAAAACCGGCGGTGTTTCGCTCGTTTCGGCACGGGGGGGCCCGCGCCGGGCCCGGGGGCCGTCAGAAAACGACTCGGGACGAAAAACCGGTCCTGGCGAAAAACTCGGGACGCCGCCGTGAAAAAATCAAGACGTCGCCTGTCTGGGGAAACAGCGCACCCTGCGGCGCATGTGGCCCGGGCGGATGCCGGCGAAAGGCCAGCGGCGCTTGCCTCTGTTCGCTGTTCGCCGGGCTTCAAATGTGGCAGGGTGCCTGCACGAGCGCCGTCCGCACGGCAGTGTAAACGCCCACACGAGACCTCCTGCGCCGAATGATCATCGGGGTTGGTCTTCGGCCGGGCATGTCCTCCTACAGGCAGATTTTGGATGAACTATTCACAAATAGTCAAGGATACACCAAACATAATCAAACATGTTCGAAACATCGTCGCCCGACAATTTTTCAAACTATGTTTGGATGTTCCTCCTGTAGAGGGACGCGGCCAAATCAAGGGTAGCGCGCATCGTCGAAGGCCGGCGGAGGCGGGCGGACGCCTAACGCGACTGCCTACCGAGCCACCTCAATCTGGCACAACCTGAGCACTTTCTTCAGAGAGCTCATGATGAAATCCATATGGGCTTTTGCACCTCGGAAGTCAATCCGTCTTGTAATTCACCCTTTGCAGATTCAAGCCTCGAGAACCAACCGAAGCGGCATTTCAGATTCCACCCTTTGCCCTGCACCCAAAGAAAATGCTCGCGTTCTGCAAAATCGAAAAGGAAAAAAACATCGCGGAACCCACGCACCGCCCAACCCGAAAGTCGGAGGGTCTGGGAGTTTCGAGATGGGCTGGGTTGGCCTGGTAAGTAATGGAAGCGGCGGCGGGGATCGGCAGGCGGAAGGCGGAGGAGATCAACGCGAGGCGCCAACACTTTTCGGCCCACGGTTCTCCGACTCGTCAATGAGAGGGGAGTCTAGCGCCCTCGCGACGCCCGTCGGTGCGCGGTCTCGTCTTCGGTTGTGGAACAGGGGCCCGAATAATAATCTATATATATATATATATATATATATATATACATATACAAGACTGCATTGGCGTTTCACGCGATGCGCCTTGTTCCGGACGCTTCCCCGGCAAAACAATACATCATCGCTTGCTTCAGCAGGGTGGACCTCGAGGCCTGGATGGGCGATCGGCACGTTTGTATGATGTCCCTGGTGCCTGCTGACACCGCGTTCGCCGGATGCGCTTGCACGCTTGTGCGCAGGAGTGGGCGCGCGAAAATGCTGGCAAACGGCGCGAAGCATCAAACTGTTGCGATGGCACCTGTTCATGAACGGGACACGGGAAGGGAACAGGGATGATGTGGGCTGCAGAGGCGGAAGGGGGGAGGAGGGGGGGAGAAAGGGGGAGAAGATCCAGAGGAAGGAGCGGGCGAATGATGATGGCCATCGGATGCCACGAGCGTGGAGGTCTACGACGAAGGCAGAAGGGGGGAATGGGGAGAGAGAGAGAGAGAGAGAAACAACAAAAAAAAAGAAAGAGAGAGAGAGAGAGAGAGCGAGAGATAGAGGTACGGGAAAGACAGGCGGGCTGGCGTGAGCGCAACGGGCGCACGGAGAACGCCGTCTGGACGTTTTTGGAGCTCTTTTGGGCCGTCCTGGGGCCTTCTTGGGCCGTCTTGGGGAGCTGGGGCCCTCCAGAGGTCTTCTGAATCCATCTAGGGCCCTCTTGGGGGCCTCCAGTGGCCTTCATGGGGTCTCCCATGGACTTCGTGTGTCTCTCGTGGGAGTCTTCTGGGGGCATCTTGGGTTTCTTGTGGGCAGTCTCGGGGTTCTCTGGGGCAGTCTTGGGGCCCTTTTAGGCCGTCTTCGAGCCCTCTTGGGGTGCCTCTTGGGCCGTCATGGGGCGAGATCGGGGGCCCATCGGGCCGTCTTGGACGCTGCGAAGACAGAAAAAACGATTATATCAACATAGACGTTTCCCAATGGGAATGGGACGATTTTTGCTTCTGCGGGGCTCTCTTAACGGCCTCTTGGGGCGTCTTGGGGGCCTCGTGGGCCGTCTTCGGATCATCGAGGTTCCTCTTGGAGCGCTCTTGTGCTGTCTTGGGTCTCTCTTGCGCCTCTCCGATGACCCCTCTGATCGGTTTGCGTCCGCTCGCACGGCCCAGCAAGGCGCCCTGGGAGGCCCGGAAGGGCTATCGGACCTTTTCCAAGGGCATCCCGGGGGCCGCCGAGACGTCCGAAAGGGCGTCCGGGGCGTCCCTGTGGGGGATCCTGTTTAGGGAGGGGGTGTGGGGGGGTCTGTCGATATATGTATATATATATATGTACATATCTATCTCTGTATATATATATATATATGTATATATGTATGCATGTACGTATGTATGCATGTATGTATTTATGTATGTATGTATGTATGTATGTGTGTATGTATGTATGTATGTATGCGTGCATGCATGCATGCATGCATGCATGCATGCATGTATGTATGTATGTATGTATGTATGTATGTGTGTATGTGTATGCATTAACTTATTTCGGAATACATCTAGCTGTGTATATGTGTATGTGTATGTGTATATAAATGTGTGTATGCTAGTTCTGGGCTCATGTGTCGATGCTGCGTCGAACGTCCGTCTATTTGAATCCCACCAGCCCTTTGGGCGACAGGTGGTCTACCGCTGCCTCTCTTTCCTCTTCCAAAAAATCCTGTTCCCCTTCGGGGAGGGGTTTACCCCTCCCCTGGACCTGGACGGGAGGGGCCGCGATCCGTTGGAGCGTCCACGATCGGCCCCTGTGAGGGTAGTTTTTTGACACCTCTCACGAGGATCGTGGCCCCCGAGGGGGGGCGCCGATCGGGAACCCTCCCTCCTTTGATCGATAGCTTCGAAGATAGCCTCAAGAGGCGCTCCAGGGCTCCCAAGAGAGCCCCGAGGGCTCCAAGAGGGTCCCAAGAGGGCCTCAAGAGGCACCCGAGAGTCCCCCAAGAGGTCCCCGAGCTGTCTCAGAGAACCCAAGATGGCCTCCAAGAAAGCTCAGATAGCCCAAGCTGGATCAAGACGGCTCCCAAGATGCTCCAAACGGCCCCAAGACCGCTCCAAGAGCGCTCAAGAACGCTGCGAAAGAACCCTAAGAAGCGGTTTGCCGGCTCCTGAGGGGGGAGTCGAATTGGGGACCGCCCCATCCTGTAATCGATGGTCTCCAAGATGATCCCAAGAAGCCTTTCAGGGTTACCAAAAATAGTTCCAAGAGGGCCCCCCAAACTCCCAGAGAGCACCAGCAGCAGCAGCAGCAGCAGCAGCCGAAAGTATACCTCTAGATGGTTCCATGATTCCTCGTCCGCGTCGTCTTCATCCTGGTCCTCGTCCTCCTCGTCCTCGTCCTCATCCGCGTCCTCGTCCTCCTCGTCCTCCTCGTCTTCATCCTCCTCCCCCTCCTCCTCTTCCCCTCGTCCCCACGCGGCACCCAGGGATGGCCCGAAGAGGCCTTCCAAGGCCACGCCATTGCTCGCTTTGCTTCCCTAGATATGTCTCTTCGCCCGTTTTCCCGTCAGCTCTGAAAGGCAGAGTTTCTGAATGGGCTGGTGGAAGTACTTTTTGGTCAACAGGCTCGCGAGGCGGGTCGAGAAAACCGTTCGAACACTAGTCGAGGCGCGACTAGGCAGCAGGAAAAGAAAGTCCAGCGAAGCGAGCGAGCGGGCAGCCACTCAGAAGGAGAGCCGCTGGTGGAGATACTTTTTTGGTTCGCGGCTCCAAGGCAAATGTCAGGGAGCGGACGCAGCGTCCGGGATGCGGCACGGAGCGGATTTGCGAACACAGCCGCCACTGCCAGCAGCCGTTCGCAACTGCAAGACACGCTCGCAGTTGCACATGCACAGAACAAAATGAACCCAATGCGCAAGCAAACGCACATAGGCGCAGCAGCGAAACCGAAGGGAACTGGCTGCAAGTGCGAGACAGCAGAGTGAGTCGCCGGTGCAACGCCAGACTCGAGCTGACAGTGCGAAAGCGAGAGCAAGCGACCAGCACACACAAAAGCGATACCATGTAGACAATGGTGAAGGAAAAAGGGGCCTGTCTCATCGAACCCACTGACGCAACAAGGTAGCTGGACCGCGTTGAAGCCTTCAGTAGACGAACCACTGGTGTGCAATAGCGAGGTTAACCACCTTCAGCCGAAGCCAGTGCGCGCACGCACATCGTATCCGACACACGCAGTTCGGGTGCAAAACGATGTGAAGTACTGACACGAGCTGTGCAGATTGCTCTGCAAATAGAACGACCGCGAACAGCAGAAAGCTGAACCACTCACTGCAGGGCCGTTCCCAGGGCAAGGCCAGGCATCAAGCGTCTCCCGGTGTAAGGCTGTCGGCAGCGACCAACACCTGCCTGCCGGAGCCAGTGCGTGCGCCTCATCTCCGACACAAGCCGTACGGGGGATCAACGATGCAAAGTACGCGAAGCGTGAAAAATTGAACTTTATGTTTTTCTCCACGCCGACCTGCCTCCTACCAGCCCCACGGCTGCACATACACATGTGCAGCGTCGGCGGCCACATGCAGGCCGAATGCTACACCAGAGACGTAGAAGAAAACGCGGCCGGTATGCGACTGAGCTCGGCGAAGGCCCAACGCGGCAGCAACACTTCACCCCCTCCTCCACTGGATTCAGTTTCCGCTTTTTCTTCATATATACATATATATATATATACATACACATGGCAATGAGGGAGGCCCATGGGTCCGAGGAGGAGGATGATGATGTACAACCACGTTCGGGGCCCAATCGCGCCTTGAAAGCATTCAAACGCAGAGAATTGAGCCTGCGCCGGGCCAAACTGGCGTGAAACAAAAAGCCGCAGGCGGAACACTAGGGATGCGAGGTCAGCGATGACGGGAACGACGGCGCGGAGTGCTACCACGTCCAACCACATGATAGTATGCGCCTCGCGCCTCTACAGAAGAAAGGCTTCCTTGAAGTCTATTGCTGGCTCGTCCTTATCCAATTCGCTTAGTAGTTGGAGCGTCCCCATCGTATTCACGACGATGCACAGGAGAATCAGAGCCACCTCGAAGACCGCGAGCGGCCAACACCACAGGTGCTGGTCGTGGAACATGTGCAGAACCCGGACGATGGCCGTGATAAAGACGCCGTAAACGAGACCGCCGCACGCCACCCTACTCCAGGCCAAGTCTCTGGGATGCACGAGCCCCTTGTCCTTCAGGTGCGGCATGATCTGCCTCACGTAGATGCCTCCGCAGACCGCAGCGCCGAAGAAGAAGAGGCTGGTGGAAAGTACGTGCACAAGCCAGCTGGCGAGCGCGCCAGCGTCCCTGGGGATGCCCTCGGCCCAGGATCGCGGCTGCCTGCCCGAGCCGTCGAGTCCGTGCTCGGGCTCCTCGTGGTCGTAGGAGAAGGTCGACAGCAGCAGCAGGCACGGCAAGACCACCCAGTGCAGGACGATGAGGAAGCGGTCCGCCTCCCGCCGCAGTGCCGGGGCTCGCGCCTTGACGTGGCGCATGACCTCGGTCCAGATGGTGTTGGAGCCGTAGGCGCAGTATGTGAACCCGAAGGCGTAGAACGCCTTGTAGAGCGGCCCGGAGGCAATGATGTCTGAGACCATCAGGTGCGGGGCCCGCACGTGGCCAGCGAGCACGGCGCACACCGGCACGACCGTCAGCAGCAGCAGCGGCAGGAAGTTGCTGGCCATCGACACGGCCACGCGCTGGCCCACCATGGCCGCGGCTAGGCCCGCCCCCGGCGGCCCTCCTGGCGGGCCCGGCCCGCCCCCGCCGCACTGCGCCAACGTGCACGCTTGGGCCAAAATCGCTACGGAGTCGGGATGGACTCGAAGCAGAGTCGAACAGATCCGTTAGGTGGGCCCCAGGAGGAAAGTCCCCGAAACAAACATCGAACCAAAGCCTGCAAGGCAAGCGACCCGCCTGCGAGCGCCCTGCGACCAGCCTGCCATCCACCCGCAGCCTGCTGGCGGCAACTGCTCCAGAGAACCGCATTCGACCCACATGCGGCCTGGTTGAAGCACGCTCGCGACCTGCGCGCAACCTTCGCCAATCAACATACCCGATACAACTACTGATCGACAATCAATTGCTCAACTTCGTTTCACCTACGCTGCCACCCGTCGCCCTCGCTGAGACTGACGGGAGCACGGGCGCACAGAAGTGTCTTCTTCATTTTGCAGATGCCGCTGCTCCTACCACCTGAAATCAGTTCCATCAGTGGTTACTGCACGGACATCCCACCTGAGCTCTGCTTCGTGCAGCGCATTCAAAACAAGGCCGCCGGAGACCCCAAAGAATGGATGATCCAAGTAAACTTCCATCGCCACTAGCAACGGTTGAAATATGTCAGCATAGCGCACTCCTGCAAGCTCGCACTCTCGACGCATGAACCGGCTCATGCCAGGCGATGCAAAAGTGAATACAATCAGCGCGTTGGCTTCCTCGGCCTTGTTCACCAACAGTCTTATTTCTTCTAAGGTGCGCATCTCAGGGCAAACAGTAATCTGGCGCAGGCTGCACTGTGGAAACAGCCTGAGCGCCGCGCAGACCAAATGGAAAGTGCAACGGCCACTCCCACAAGATACGGCGAAGACAGCTGGTTGATCAGATGATGTATCATGCTCCTGTCTGGCAGCGCTATCAATGCCGAAGCACTTCTCAAGCCGCGCGTGGTGGAAGCACGCTTCCATCTTGATGAGCAGCGGCTCCAAGACGTTAACGTAATGCAAACCACGCTTCCGGCACTCGTAGCTCATGTAGGAACTTAGCTGTCGGGACGCCAGCGTGTAGACAATCATAGCGCCACATGCGGACGCTTCGTTTACGACCGAGTCGATGCCCTCGGTTGAGCGAACATTGGTCTTCAGAATGAGGTTCGCTGCTTCGGAGGAGCCAAACTGTGCCCACGCACTCCTCAGCAGAAGCTGAGCTCCAGTCCCCTGGAAATCAGAAACCACCAAAATAGGTTTTGCCTCGCATGTCTCGGCCCATGGAGCCACTGAGAAGTCAAGGCCTTCTTCATCCTCATCGTCGAGATCGTCTTCATCAACACCGTCCCTGGACCGAGCACGCAGCGCCACTAACTGCCGACCCTGATGAAAAGAGTGCTGGAGACGAACTCGCTGATGACACCTCCTTGTACGGTCGCGAGGCCTGCTCTGCCACGACAGCACCGCAAGCGCCACATCAGCCAGGCACGGTCCAGCAGCAGCAGCACCAGCACAGCTGCGGGCAGCACGCTCCGGCAGTGCCCACGGGCGTTGAGCCTGGCGGCGCCGAGCTTCCTTCGCGCATCCGTGCTCGGCTCGACGGGCAAAGAAAACGTGCACTTTCGAGCGTGCGCTGCCGACGAGCATCTCGGGAGACATCACGGGCACAGCGACCGCATCAAGCGAGGGCCGACATCTGAGCAACCGGAGCTCGGAGCAGAAATGGCTGCGGACATGATGGGCCTGTTTTCCACCACCACCACCATAACTTGGGAGGGTGAGGGGGTCCTCCTCCTCCTCCTCCTCCTCCTCCTCCTCCTCCTCCTCCTCCTCCTCCTCCTCCCCCTCCCCCTCCTCCTCCTCCTCCTCCTCCTCCTCCTCCTCCTCTCTTCCTCCTCCTCCTCCTCCTCCTCCCTCCTCCTCCTCCTCCTCCTCCTCTCTTCCTCCTCCTCCTCCTCCTCCTCCTCCTCCTCCTCCTCCTTCTCCCCTTCCAACTGATGGTGGTGGTGGTGGTGGTGGGAGGCAGGCCCATCAGGACAGGCGCAGGGCGAAGCCTTCAGACGCGGGGCGCGGCAGCTGCGAAACCCTCCGCCCGCCCGCCCCGCCCTCTCCGTCTCCGGTCCAGGGCCTCCGGCTGTGTCCGTGGCGTCGGATGCGTTGAGGGGAACGTCGCACCCCCGGTGTGCACACTGTGTGCTAAGTGTGATGTGCGCTTTTGTGTGTTTGGTGCGTGTGTGGCGCCTGATGTGTGTGTGTGTGGTGGTATTTGTGGTGTTGCGTTGTGTGATGTGTTTGTGTGTGGGTGTGTCTACGCGTGCTGTGTTTATGGTATGTGTGGTATGGTGTAGGTGGTGCTGTGTTGCCTGGTGTATGTCTGATGTGTGTGTGTCTGGTGTGTGTGTGTGTGCGTGTCTGATGTGTGCTGTGTGTTCGTTGTGTGCGTGAGGTGTGTGTGTGTGTGTGTGTGTGTGTGTGTGTGTGTGCGTGCGTGCGTGCGTGCGTTCGT